GCCCAATGTTGACTACTGGTGCGATAAACCCCAGGTTTACCAGGTATGTATCATTTTTTGTTTTGATTAATCATGGTAGTTTTATGGTTAATGTTTTTATTTGTTTTTATGCTAGAATATGACAGATCGCGAGTGGAGGGACCGGACTGTAGGCACCCGCGACCCCAACTACCAGTGCCGTCGATATGATAACCCGGCCCTCGAGTGCCAGAGTTGGCAATACGATCACTCATTCTGGCGCTCGTCTATTATCAGCGAAGTAACGGATAAACGCTTTTTTACAAATTATATTTAATTGAAATAATCATGGTTAATTAATATTTTTATTGAATTATAGTGGAATATAGTGTGCAGTCGCGAAGGCCTGGCATCGGCCACTCAGTCGGCATATATGGTTGGCGTAAGACATTTAAACATACCTTTATGTTATAAATTATAATTTACAATTAATTATAAATTCAAAAAAAACTTTAAAACATTAAAAAAATAATTGTTATTATACTAAAAAATATTTAAAAAACTTGTATATAAATTATACGACACTCAGGTTATGGTCACCGTTGTTGTGATGGGACAGTTGTCCGACAAGTGAGTAAATGTTTTATTATTTTTACGTCTATTGTATTCAATATTTACGATCATAATGATTTAGGATCGGTCGTCGCCCCATCATATGGGCCGGTCTTATCATTGAGCTCATAGCCGGCCTGTCCTCGGCTTTCTCCGTGTCTGTCGAGCACTTCATTATATCGAGGTATGTGTCAAATGTGTGTAATTTTGCATTAATGTAATTTATGTTTGTGCGCATCCACTAAAGTAATTTATATCCAGATATAATTGTTTTAAATTAAACTATAATAAGTTAATTAATGTTATACAGTATAACCTGTTGCACACTATAGTGTGTATAAAATGAAATTGAGTTTTAATTTTAATGTCCATTTGATAATGAAATGTAAAAATCAAATTAATCCTATGGTGTGAGCGATTAGCGTAAACTAACATAAAATTTAAAACTTAATTAAATGCATATTAATTATAACTGGTATAAAATGTATGGTAAATTGAAACTATAAAACAAACTGACCATGTCTAATCACAAACCTCGATAGATTCGCTTTGGCTTACGGGGCCAGCGCTCGGTGGGGAACGGGATTTGTTTTACGTAATTATAATCCATACAAAATATCAATCAAAATAAATTTAAAAAAGCAAAACTTAAAACAAAAACACCTTTTTTACCAACATTTACACCAAAACAAAAAATACAACTTAAACAAAAAAAATCTAACACACTTTACACCCAACCTCTACCCCACACACCCATCCCATACACACACCAGTGCTGGAGACAGTGGGACCGCAATATCGGCCAGTGGTCGGTATGGCCATCGAGTTTGGTTGGGCGCTGGGCTATATCGTGCTGCCGGGCGCCGCCTACTTGATCCGGGACTTTCGTTGGATACAACTGGCCGTAACGCTGCCGGAATTCGCCCTGCTACTATGGTGGTGCGCGCTGCCCGAATCACCAAGGTGGCAACTGACCCACGGCCACTACCAGGAGGCCGAGCGGGCCATCAGGAGGGCAGCCGAGATCAATGGCCGGTCCACCGTCGACATCGACGCCAAACTCCGTAAACTGATGGACAAAACAATCGCAGTAAGACCATAGAGGGGGTGGTGTATGCCCGGGACAGGGGGTCTCACCAGACCCTCTACTACCGGTCCTAATCACTCGCCCCTCGCCATCACGTAATGAGTTGTATTGAATGACCCGACGATTTCAGGACAAAGAGCACGATATAGCGAATAAAAAGGCCAATTTGTTTGATCTGTGCCGCTCCCGCACCATGGTCAAGAATACTGTTATATTGTATTTTTCGTGGTAAGTTTTGCATTGTGTTAATTACTTACTGTATGATTAAT